TTCCTTATTTTCCTTCCAGTCCTGTGTCTGCCCCTTTAGTTGATGATACTCCCTTTGATTTCCCATTACCACAGGAGCCAGAGTCATTGCTCACTATCCCTACAGGGTCATCCGTCTCTCCTCCTCCGGAGCCACTCATCTCTGTCAGTACAGAGTCACCAGTCTCTCTTTCTTTGCAGATGTATGTTTGTCGCCCTCGCTCTCATCACCATACTGATGTCCCCTCTACCTCAGGCGATGCAGGTAATACTTTTCAGTTTTGTTGAGCATATTGATGTACCTATTGTTAGTACTTATGAGTTTGCAGGTGTTGAGCTAGTTCCTTTACCTGATAAGACATTATCAATGAAGGATGATGATTTAGGGCATCGTTATCTACAGCGTGATCGCCATCCAGTTGATCGTTATGGTTGGACCGCCAGAATTTTATATTCGATCTCTACTTATGTTTCTTATAGTGATTTGTCTCTTACATTTCGAGCTTATAGCATGGTCTTATCAGATACGCCAGTTCCTCGCTCTGTTTCGAAGGCTATGCGGGAGTCCCAGTAGGTTCTTGTCATGCAGACAGAGATGGACGCTCTTCAGCGTAATCATACATGAGATCTTGTCTCTTTACCTTCAGAAGTGAAGCCTGTTGGATATCGCTGGGTTTACACCCTTAAGTTTCTTGCGGATGGTACTATTGATCGTCACAAGGCTAGGCTTGTGACGAAGGGCTTTACTCAGGTACCAAGTCATGATTTTGGTGCTACATTTGCCCCCGTGGCAAAATTGACTACTGTTCAGTTGATTATTTCTCTAGCTGCGGAGTATTCTCGGCCTCTTCATCAGTTAGATGTGAAGAATGTGTTTCTTCACGGTGATCTAGACGAGATTATTTATATGGATACACCACCAGACTTCCGTGGTGAGGGGAAGTATGCTGGAAAGGTATGTCGACTGCGTAAGTCTCTTTATGAATTGAAACAGTCACCACGAGCCTAGTTCTCTCGCTTTAGTGATGTAGTCGTACGTTTGGAGTTAACCAAATGTCATTTCGATCATACCTGTTTTATTCGACGGAATACTTCTGGACAATGTGTTATCCTTCTGGTATATGTTGATGATATTATTATTACTGGTGATGATGTTTTTGGGAATGCGCAGGTCAAGGTAGACCTTCGATGTGAAAGACCTTGGATTTCTACGATACTTTCTTGGGATTGAGATTGCCCGTAGTGGCAGGAGGGTTATTCTTTCTCAGAGAAAGTATGTTCTGGATCTTCTTTCAGGCACTGGGATGCTGGTTTGCAAACCGGTATCATCACCCATGATTCCAAACCTGAAGCTTACTACTGAAGGTGAGGAGTTGAGAGATCCGACAGTTTATCAGAGGTTGGTAGGTAGACTTATCTACTTAGCCAACACTAGGTCGGACATTTCATTCGCAGTCAGCAGAGTTAGTCAATTCATGCACAGGTCGTGTCAGCCTCATCTTCATGCAGTATATCATATTCTTCGGTACCTCAAGTCTTATCCTGGACTTGGGTTGTTCTATGCATCAGGATCTTAGACTAGTTCTCTAGCCTGTTATTCAGATTTAGATTATGGGGGAGCATGTGATGGTCGATCTACTACGGGCTTCTCTGCTTTTCGAGGGACTCATCTTATCTCTAGGAAGAGCAAGAAGCAGACAGTTGTCTCCTGCTCGTCAGCAGAGACAGAGTATCAGGCACTAGCACTTGACACGTGTGAGCTTATCTGGCTACGATCGATCCTTGGCGAGTTGGGATTTTCAGTGACTTCTCCATCCACATTATATTGTGATAATCGATCTGCTATTCAACTCGCTTCTGACTCTGTACTACATGAGATGATGAAACATATAAAGATTGATGTTCACTTTCTTCGGGAGAAGGTTAGCAATGATATTGTCACTCTATCGTTTGTGGGGACCAATGATCAGGTTATGGATATTTTTACCAAACCTGTCACTCTATCTATTCTTCGAGTCTCTATTGTCAAGCTTGGCTTAGTTGACATTTTTGCACCTAGTTTGAAAGGGAGTGTTGGAGATATAGCAGCAGACTAGTTTATTAGGGTTTTATTAAGTTTTATTTTTTACCTTTTTGTCCTTATTGTAACTCTCATTGACTATATATACGGGAGTTCTACACTTAATTTGTATCTCTTTTACTTACATCTATCTCAAGTGTTCCTGGTGCCTTCATTATAAAAAATTACCATCACAAACAGTTTGGTTGGCTGACTTTAGTTTGTTTGGCTTACCATCACATGAAATTTCTATCCTTGATCCAACTTTTTTCTAGAAATGAACGTCACGAATTAAGAAGTTTGTTTGGCTGTTAAAGTGTGCACACTAACTAACTCTACCATGATTCTATTATCAGACCTACCTGCCATGTAACACTCCAGAACCTCTACGCCTGGTTAATCCAAGATGGTAACTTCCACAATGTACACTCTTTTCCTCCTCTTCTTATTTCTCCCCCAAAAGTAAGAAGTCCCTAAAAGATTCCCTAATTCCCACACCAACCCACAAATCTCACCTGACTTTCAGAACTACCCAAAACATCTTTGCTAAGCCACAGAAAGATTGATTTCAAGAAACTGATTGGTAACTGAATAAACAAATGAGAGAGAAAAATAAACAAATGAAGTGCTTTGGTAAAAATTGAGCAAAAACTCTCTGAGAACTTTTGTCAAACATGTGGTGTGTATGGTTGGTGGTGGAGGTGCTGGGTGGAAATGTGTATGGGATCAAAGCTTTGACAAAGATCAGGGAACACGTAACCCCACCAGCCCCTCTAAAAAGAAAAGACTGTGTGGTAACAGAGAGGTTGAGGGATTTGCAGCAGTGAACTGTCCCTCCTAAGCTCTGTCACCCACTCCTACTACTTACCATGTAACCGTTGGAAAGCAAAGATATGTGTGTGTGAGAGAGAGAAAGAGAAATAGCAGAGAAGAGGTGGGGAGGGGTGTTGCGTAGAAAGGGCAGAGAAGAGGTGTGGAGGGGTGTTGTGTGTTTTTTTTTTTGTGTGTGAGAGAGAGATAGAGAGAGAGATGAGGGATACCTGGAGGGGTTAGCAGTGGCGGCGGTGCTGGCGAAGTGGCTGACGAAGTGGTGGTGGTGGTGGTGGTGGTGTCGCTGGGGGCGTAACACAGAGAGAGAGAGAGAGAGAGAGAGAGGAGTAAAGAGTAAGGACTGACGGAGTAAAAAAAAAAAGAAGAAAAACAACGGCAACCATTAGAAAAAAAAAAAGATATCTGACAGTCTGATTTTGAAAAAAAAAAACAGAGAGAGACGAAGAGGAGGCGAGATCTGTGACAGGTGAGGTGACCAAAGTCGGATCTGATTTTTAAAAATAATTTTAGTGAGAGGGGATAAGTTTGGGGAGAAATTGAAGAAAAGTTGCTACCCGTTAGATGAAATGATTTAAAATTATACGATTAATTTGTTGAAGTTGTCTTATTTTATATTATAGATTTTTAAATATGGGATTGTTGATAGGTTAAATTTCAGTCCACGCCGTTCTGTGATGCACTAAATGCTATCCCAAGAAATGTGCACTTGAACATGTGATGTGCACATGCTTTCGATCGGTGCTAATGTGAAGTCCCCATAATACAAGCCGATGATATTAATCAGCCATTAAAGCACGGTGCTTATTGTCGGTGGAATGCAAAACATACATTCAATTCCCTTACTAATCGTGAAGGCTAAATACATTTCAAACGCAGGGTCATCCGCAATTTTATACTCTTTGGAACGTCGAGATTTCAATTTATCAATAATTTTTTAAATTAATGATTAATTATATTTTGCTCCCTGAAATTACGATGTTTGTTTCACTTTGTACTCTCAATTATTAAATTTTTTACATTGCCCTTTCAATTACTTGATAGGTTTGACATTACCCAAAATATAAACTTTCATTATTTTTTTGACTGAAAATATCGATGTGTCAAAGGAGAAATAAAATAACATAGTTTGGGGATAAAGTCAAACAAATAGCCAAAATTGAATGTGAAATATGCAAAATATGATAGTTGAGGAGGCAAAATGACACAAATCTCATAGTTTAGGGAGAAAAAGTATAATTAACACTTCAACAAATGATTGATTTTATAAACATATAATATTAAGTCCATATAAATTAGAGACGCAACTTGAACCTATCAATCGAAGCCTAACCCAAATAGTCAATATTTAGGTTAGGAATTGGGCAAAAAAGTTGCAATTTGACTTAAATTCGGATGGTATTTCAACTTTGAGTCTCAAATTTTTGAGATCCAACTCAAACTCTTCACAAAGTCCCTAATTTAGTATCAACTTGAATTTCAACACGAGTTTCTTAACATGTGTAATATAAATGGAAAATCAATGTATGCATTTTGCATAGTGCAATTTAAGTTAAACTCAAGTAAATTTTTCAACCCAATAAACTCTGTCTAAGTTACACTTAAATGGTTAGACATCATACTTTGTACTAAGGTTGTCAACGTGTCTTACTATGTCTTATATTTGAATCATAAGTTGTATCAGGTCAAGTTTTATATAACCTATATTCGATCTAGTTATATAATATTATATAGTAGAAATTGCATCGTGTTTAATAAAATTTTCATCGATTTATGTCTTTCAAAATTCTAACAAGTTTATTCATTTACAGCTTGAATCCACTTAAATTAAGCTTTAAAATTTTAATTTCATATTAATTTAGTATCAATCATGCATAGATTGTCACCTTTGGGATGGACTTTTGGAAAGTGGACACACTAGAAGCTCGAAGGAACTATCCTCAAGTGAATGCACTTTTCTTTTCCTTTACTTTTTTTTCCCCTTTCCCTGAATTTAGACTGATCTCCGCGTAAACAGAGAGGCAGAAGGAGCCCACCAATTGAAATCAATGAAAATGAGTGCCGCAAGACGCGCCATTCTTTCTGCATTATGTGATAGATACCATGTGAACTCTGCTGTGTGCCAGCCCACACACGTTTTCTTTCCCTCTTTCTCTCCCATGATATCACTCCCCCACATTTGCACTTCTCTCTCGAACTCATTAAGAAGGGTGCTCCCTAAACAGCCCGTCACCAAGGAAAAAAACTCAAGAAAATGGCGAAATTAGTCTTGTTGTTTGCCGTCTGTATTCTCCCGGCGATTGCCAGTGCTCTCTACCACAACGGCCCTTTCATTGTACAAGGCAAAGCCTACTGCGACACTTGCCGTTGTGGCTTCGAGACCCCCGTCACCAAGTACCTCGCCGGTAAGACCCACACCCTCATACATACGCTTTTACAATTTTCTCGTTTAGTACTATTTTAATTTGTTCAATGTTCCTACACAGATCGAAATCAACCACTCTTTTTACCCATTTAACGCAGTTTGGATGTATCCGAAATATTATTTTACTAAATAAGCACAATGTGGTGTTGACTTGGTGGAATATTTTCTAACATTTTATCGATGCTACGTGCACCAAACTTACGTAGCCATTGAGTTAGAGAACCACTGAACCCCATTGTCATCCAACAGGCTGTCAACCATTTGGTGCATAGGTTTTAATGCACATAGCATTACTCTTTCATCAATTATGACCTCATATTTTGTTTGGCAGCTATAGTGAATTTAACTGTTAAAGAGTTCTAGAAATGGTCAATGATCTAAATTCCTTGAGGTTTCATAATTTTTTTATTACAACTTTTAGGGTGAATTTACTATTATATACTCCCTCCGTTCTTAAATATCTGTCGTTTAAAATTTTTGTACAGAGATTAAGAAAACTATTAAATAACTCTAGTATGAGTAAAAAATAATTGAACAAGAGTAAAATATCCTTATTAAATACATATTAGAAAGAAATGGAATATGAAAGACACTTAACTTATACTTAATCTATTAAGTACTTATTAAAAACAGAGATAAGGGGTAAATTTGAAAAAAAAATATTAATTATGTTTTAGTTTTATAAAATGACAGATATTATGAAACAAAAAAAATTAGATAAAATAACAGATATTTAGGAATGAATAGAGTACTATTGACTTAAGTAGACCTGTTTACAATAAAGTGTTTAGCACACGAGTAATCAATGATGGGGAGATAAGCCCTTTTGGTGGATATATTTATGTGGAGGAATAATCTCTTTATAATTGTTACCGTAAATTACAATGACACCCTTAATGTTGTGATTTATTCACCGGCCATTAATGTTTTAATCCTTTGTTGAGATTTGTGGTCAAGATTGATTTTGGTGGCAACGATTGATTAAAGATGGTGGCATAACACTCCACGTGACGGTGATGACGTGATGTTACCATGATATTAAATATTTTCTCACGTTTCAGCTCAAGGAGAAAGAGACTATTTCTTGTGGATTTTAATTTTTTCAAAATAAGAAATGTTAGAGTGATCTAATTCAATACCGTCATTGGATCAATTGTGAATTATAATGTTATAATGAAACTCACTTTCAATCCCATAATTGTAGTGTTCCGAAATTAGATCCAAATAGGATTTTTCTTTCAAAATAGCAATGATTTTGACTCATATATCTAACTTTTATACATTTGGACCGAGGCCAAAAAATTCGGTTGTCCATAAAAAAATTCGATCTGGGTCAGATGAGATGTCACAAGTGACTGAGAAAAACCCAAATGCCGAGGGGTGGGTCAGTGAATAAGCCCACATATTAGGGTCTCATTGTAATTTTCCCAAACAGCAAAAGTTACTCGTACATACTATATATGTAGTTCAAGAAATTTTCCTTAAAAAATATTATAGCAATACTGCACAAATATTGTATTTATAACTGCACCACGACTGTATTATATTCAAAATATGCCTCTCTAGTAGTATTATGATATGTAACTCACATGGTCTCTTATAAAGTCTCTATTGATTGTATTCTTATTGTATGCCTTGTGAGTGCGTTTGGATCACGAAGGCAATCACTCGGGTGTTCTCCTAACCCAACTCGAGAACAGGCCTTAGTATGGAGAGTTATTTGTAGTGGATCCTCAATTTGTATCTTTAGACATGTTGGTACCGCATAATTTTGCATGAATAATCAATCTTGCCTAAAATTTGGTTTGTCTTCTTGTAGTTTTCCTTCAAATGGTCCTTGATGTTCTTGTTTTATTCAGTGAGAGGTGAAACTATTGCTTTAACCATCAGTATTATGTGATTTTGCTTACTAGGTGCGACGGTCAGGATTGAGTGCAGAGACAGGGCCACCCAGAAGCTCAAATACAGCAACGATGGCGTTACCGACGAAACAGGAACATACAATATAATGGTGAACACTAACTGCGGTGACGATATTGCTGAGGCAGTCCTCGTTAAGAGCCCGGATCCTAAATGTGCTACACCGGACAATGGTCGTAACCGTGCCCGTGTAGTCGTCACCAATTACAATGGCATGACATCGAATATTCGCTACGCCAATAACATGGGATTCTTGCAGGATGAGCCTTTGCCTAGCTGCCCCAAAATCCTCCAGACATACCAGCAAGTCGATGAATAGAAATAACTGATGCTTGCTAGCCTCCTTTTATAAAAGCTTAGGACTTATTGGTGCTAATGTTGCCATGGCAATCACTATTAATGTCTTATTAATTATGGGTGGTGGTGTTATGGCTGATGTCTCTTCAGTTTAATAAGCAATGTATTTTACATTAAGTAGTCACTTAAGCTTCAAATTTAACTTGTTTCTTGCTATTCTAGCTAAAGGTGCTTGGTGTATTTTGTATGTTTCAAACGGGGCGATAAAATAAAACCTAATCTTGATTTTGCATTGAAAAATCGTGGATTTTTTTGGGTAAGTCAAAAGGGTGGATGTTGTCCTTGGGATCTATGTCCATATGCATGGCTTTTTTTTTTTTTTTGGGAACTAGATATATTTCCATATTAGCCGCGACTTTCTTCTAAAATTTTAGTTTAGAGTAAGCTTCGAAGGTTGGGATCCAAGTTTACTCATTGACATGAATACAAATTCAATAAAAATGAAAAGGAAAAATTTCAACGACACCCCCTTTAATTTATCATATTTTCAAGGACACTCCCTCTAGTTTCTGAATCTTTAGTGACACCCTTTCTAGTTTAATTTAAACATCACTAACACCCCCTACCACTAAACTATTATTTCTAACAAAAAAAATTCATCTAAAATACCAAAAATACCCCTCCATAACCTCAAGTAATTTTTTTACATAAAATTTTATTAAAATTCGAGCTGTTAAAATTTTTAAAAAAAATCATAAATAACAATTTTAGTAAATAATTTATTAGTAAATACTAATTTGTTATTTACTAATTCCTAAATTTAAAAAAAAAAAATCAAGCCTATTAAATTTATGTATATACATATTAAAATTTGAGCCGATTTGAACTCTACCCGAGTTGTTAGCACCGACTAAAATTCTCTTTCGAATCGATTAAAATTTATATTTTTTACTTATTAAAATTCGTGTCAATTAAAATTAGATTTATTAAAATTTGGGTTGATTAAAATTCAATGCAAATTAATTAAAATTTGATTTGAGTCGATTAAAAATATTTTTTAATTGGCTCAAACAAAATTTTAATTAGCCCAAATTCTAATACATAAAAAAAAATATAATTTTTAATTGGCAAAAAATTTAATATGTAAAAAAATAAATTTTAATTAACTTGAATCGAATTTTAATCAGTTCGAATTTAATTACGTTACAAAATTAGAAAATAGAGGGGTCTCACTGAAAATATACTTATTTAGAGGGGTCCTCATTAAAGATATGTATTATCTAGAGGGGGTGTGGATGAAGTTTGTCCTTAAATATATCATGGATAATTTAGTAAAATTACATTTTACTCAATATTTTTAATCTGACAGGGGTGTCATTAAAGATTCAGAAACTAGAGTGGGTGTCTTTGAAGATATTATAAACTTGAGGAGGTGTGGTTGAAATTTTTCCAAATAAAAAATATATGCATCATATTAATGTTAAACACGAATAATAAAATTCACTAATATTGTAAGTAAGGAATAAGAATTTTTTTCATTTCTTAATTTTTTATATAAAACAAATGACACAGATACTACCAGAGTAATCTAAATTATCTCAAATGTCAGCATGCCGATTCGGTGCTTATAGGGCACCATGTGACAGTATCATATGGTGCTCACATTCAACGAGTAATTGTAACAACACTTGCGTGTGGAACAGACATTGATTTTTTCAATAAAATTTTTGACGACTCTACAAAGGACAATCATTAATTGAGAATTTATAAAATATTTTATTAATTATGTACATATGACACTGTCATATAATGCTTGACGAGTACCAAATATTTTCTCGCCCCGATAAGGTAGTTCTTTGTGCAAGCTTGAGCGGGCTTAAATTCATACTCAAACTCAGCTCAGAAAAAAAAAGTTTTCCACATGGGAATGGAACTCAAACCAAAATTAATTTCTTTGCAAAATTTTTTAAAAAATAAAACTTTTGAACTTAATTATCAATTCAAAAATAATTATTTTCTTAAAAAAATTATAATCAAGTTCTAGAATTTTAAATTTCTCACAATTTGGTGTTCTTCACCTTTTGGATAGAGATTATGGGGCAATAATTTAAAAACACTAGTTACTGTCTGTGCATAAAGGTATAGAGTAATAAAAAATAGTCAACAATAAGTATATTTGTATTCACATTTAAAATCAAATCACAAATATAGAGGATAGAGAAATGAATTTAAGCACCGGTTACAATGGAAGTGAACAATGGTAATGTTGGTGGGTGGTAGTGAAGGTGGTGGCGATGTCGGCGATGGTGGTAGTAGTGATGGTTGTGAGGGTGGTGGTGAGGCGAAAAGGGTAGTGGTGGTGGTGGGGGGTAGTGGGGATGGTAATGGTCGGGCAGTAGAGGTGGGGGTGGCGGCAATAATAATGGCGATGGTGGTGATAATAGGGGACAATAGTGGTAATAGTGGTTGTTGTGGCAGAGATAGTGGTAGGGTGAAGGAGGCGACGGTGGTAGGACAGTGGCTGTGGTGGGGTGGTGGTGGTGGTGGAGTGGCAATGGTGGTGATGGTAGATGGNGGCGATGGTGGTGATAATAGGGGACAATAGTGGTAATAGTGGTTGTTGTGGCAGAGATAGTGGTAGGGTGAAGGAGGCGACGGTGGTAGGACAGTGGCTGTGGTGGGGTGGTGGTGGTGGTGGGTGTAATGGGGATGGTGGTGGTGGTGGTGGTGGTGGTGGTAGTGGTGGTGGTGGTGGAGTGGCAATGGTGGTGATGGTAAGGGGTGATATGGTAACAACAGCGATGGTGGGGGTAAGGGGTGGGGGTGGTGGTAGTGGTGATGGTGGTGGGTGAGGGAGGTGACATTGATGGTGGTGGTGGGACGGTGACAGTGGAGGTGGTAGTGGTGATGATGGTGAGGGGGTAGTTTGGTGGTGGGGGTGGCAGTGGTAGTGGTTGTTAAGAATAATAGGATAATATGTATAAATTGTTAATAGTAAGAGGGTATATGTGTCATTCTTATTACTGTAGGTTAATTATAAATACAAGTAATGTATGAGAGTTAGGTTAAGTTTTTAACCTCTCTCTTTCTCTCTAATATTGTGTTATGTTAATTATCTCAACTTAACATGGTATCAGAGCTCTTACGATCTTAAATATATTACCATTATGGTGGTGTGACTGTGTTATTGTGGTGGCATGTGGATGCGTTATTGTGTTATTGTGGTGGTGTGGCTGTGTTAGTGTGGTGGTTCCTGTTCATCGTTAACTGCTAGGATGGTGGTGTGATCGCTCGTGGTGGTGGTGTGATCTCTGTTCATTGTCGACTGTTGGTGTGGTTGGGTGATCGTTTGTGGTGATGGTGTGGCCCCTGTTCATCGTTGAGTAGGGTTGTTCGTGGTGGAGGTGTGATTTTGGTGTGTGCAGTCGAAGACCAGGGTTTCACTGGGAACCCTAATCTCAACGAAAAAGAAGACTCCATTGAGGTTGGGTCAGATCGGGTCAAGCCCATTGACTTAAATTATTTTAAATCGCATTCCAAGTCCAAGCCCAGTAGTCCAACAGTTTGGTTCGGTTCAAACTAAGTTCAGCCTGGTTCAATGCTCCAGCAAGCCAAACTGCCCTGGTTTAGTGCTCCAGCAAGCCAAACCGCCCCGGCTCAGTGCCCCAGTAAGCCAAATCGGGCCGGTTCAGTGCTCCAGCAAGCCAAACTGGCCCGGTTGAGTGCTCCAGCAAGCTAAACCGAACCGGTTCAGTGCTCCAGCAAGCTAAATCGGCCCGGTTCAGTACCCCAATAAGCCAAACCAGACTGGTTCAGTGCTCCAGCAACCTTTTCCAACCCGGTTCAACCTTCTAGCAATTTCTTTTCCTCTACTTCAGCATTGTAACTCTTCTTGTTTATTATTTGCTGCATTATTATGGAACCCAAGCAAGATAACAAGTCCTTTACTCCATCTTTGTCTTCTCTAACTTTTATCAATGGTCCCATGACCTCTGTCAAATTTAATAGGACTAATTATACTTTATGGTCCCGATCTGTTCAAGTCTTTTTTCGAGACAAAGGATTTAAGAAATATCTGGTGGATTCTAAACCCAAAGAAGACACTCATGGGTATGATTAGTGGGAACAAGAGGATACTCAGATTATGTATTTATTGTTGAATAGCATAGAGCCCAGTATTAGCTCTTCTCTGCTCTATCTTGATACTACCAAAAAGATATGGAATCACTTGGCCACTACATATAGGTAATTTTATCCGTGCGTATGAGGTGTGTAAGGAGTACTTCTGGTTGTAGCAGGGTAGTCTAAGCCTTACCGATTATTACTCTCATGTTCGAGGAGTCTATGAGGAGATGAAGACTTACCACCCGTTTACTACTGATGCAGCAGTTTAGCAAAATCAACCTGAGGACCTGAATGTTGTTAGATTTTTGGTAGGATTGAAACCTGAATATAAGTCTATTCGTTCTCAGATTTTGGGTGGATCTAGTCTTCCATCACTGCTGGAGGTTTTCGCTCGTTTACAACATGCTACACTGTCTACTCCTTTAGTCATTGATCATGGTGTCTCCACTAATCGCTCAACTCTTGTGGTTTCTAATAGTCATAGTGATGGTCATCGAGGTGAACATGGTGGTCGCAGAAGTCGTACGGGAGGTCTTACAGGTGGTCGTAGTGGATCCCGTTCTTGTACTCACTGTGGCCGTAGAGGACGCACTGTTGATTTCTGTTGTAATTTACATGGAAAACCTTCTGGTACTTCTAATCAGGCTTCTTATTAGGATGACACCTCTGTTGTTGCTTCCATACCTCGGTCAGCTCCACCAGACACTGGGTCGGTTACTATTACACTAGGTCGAGAGAAGTATGCTCAGTTTTTGTTCCAGCAACAGGCAGTTCCATCTCCTTCCACTGCTACTTTTGCCCAGTCAGGTACTGCATCCACCTATTTATTATCCTCCACTTGCAGTTCTTGGATCATAGACTCTGGCACCTCTGACCACGTGACTGGTGCGTCTGACGTTTTCTCTACTTATCAATCTGCTACTTCCACACGTAGTATTACTCTTGTTAATGGTACTTGTTCTAAAGTTTCAAGTCTGGGGACTACTCACTTGAGTCCTGATATGTCCCTATCTTCCGTGTTATTTGTTCCTCAGTTTCCTTTTAGTTTACTTTTCATTAGCAAGATTACTCGTTCTCTCAATTGTTCTGTAACTTTTTATCCCTCTTATTGTGTCTTTTAAGATTTCAAGACGAAGAGGAAGATTAGTACGGGGCATAAAGTTGGTGGCCTATATTACCTTCACTTTGATTCACCTACCCAAGCTTTACAGACCTTATTGTCTCCTTTTCAATGGCATTGTCGTCTTAGACATCACTCTCTTCAGAATCTGAAGCATCAAATTCCCAGTCTTAGTTATTTGTCGTCTTTGTCTTGTGAAGCTTGTCAACTTAGTAAGCATCACCGTGTGTCATTTTAGTCTAGAGTCAATAATTGTGTATCTAGTCCATTTAAATTAGTCTATTTTGATGTATGGGGTCCAATAAAGAATATTTTATTTAATAAATATCCTTATTTTATGATATTTGTGGATGACTATTCTCGTGTGACTTGGTTATTTTTTTATGAAAGTTCGGTCTGAATTATTCTCTATATTTGAGACTTTTCGTAAAGAAATAAAAACTCTGTTTGGTTGTCGTATATGTACTTTACGTTCCAATAATGCTCGGGAATATGAATCTGATCTTTTTTCAACTTATTTTAGTAAAACTGATATTATTTATCAGACTTCTTGTGCTTACACCTCTCCACAAAATGGTGTTGCTAAATGCAAGAACCGTCATTTGTTGGAAGTCACCCGTGCCTTGTTATTTCAGATGAATGTTCCCTGATATTATTGGAGTGATGATGTTCTTACTGCTTGTCATCTTATTAATCGTATGCCCTTCTCTATGTTAAATGGACAAAGTCCATACTCTGTCATTTTTTCTGGTAAGCCTTATGTTTTCTGACTCCTAAGGTTTTTGGATGTGTCTGTTATGTTCACAATTTGGGTCCTAGATTTGACAAACTTGACTCTTGAGCTACAAAATGTGTATTTTTTGGTTACTCCCACACACAGAAGGGTTTCGTTGCTACAGTCCTTCTCTGCACCGATACTTTACTAGTGCGAATGTCATATTTGAAGAATATGTTCCATACTTTCCAGCACCTTCTCATCCTTGGGATCTGGACTTTAGATCCTCTCCGGTACCACCATCTCTTTCCTTTTCTTTAGATATTCCGCTGCCCACTGTGTTATCATCTACTTTACCTCTCCATGTCTACTCTCGCCGTCCTCGCCCATCGACTGAAGTGCCCGTACCATCTTCCTTGCTGCCTTCTGATCCTAAAATATCTGGTAATTTAGATTTTTTACCTATTGCTCTTCGTAAATGTACTCGTTCGGGTGTTATTAATCATCTCATTTCTCATTTTGTTTCATATGATGTCTTATCTCTTGTTTTCTCTTGTTTTACTTCTCAATTATTTGTTATATCTATTCTTAAGTATTTACAGGATGCATTATCTGATCCGGGTTGGAGGAAAGCTATGGAGGAGGAGATGGATGTTTTACATCATAGTGAGACTTGAGATCTCGTTCCTTTACCCTCTGGTAAATGAACTGTTGGCTGTCGTTGGGTGCATACTGTTAAATTTCATCTAAATGGTTCTGTGGAGCATCTCAAAGTCTGGCTTGTTGCAAAGAGTTTTACTCAGACTTATGGTGTTGATTATGACGAGACTTTTTCTCCTGTTACAAAAATTTCCTCTGTTCGTATCTTAATTTCTTTGGCTACTAATCTTGATTGACCCTTGTTTCAGTTAGATATCAAGAATGCTTTCTTACATGGTGATTTGGTTGAGAAGGTCTACATGGAGCAGCCACCTAGGTTTACTGCTCAAGGGGAGTATGGTAAGAGTGTATGTCGGTTAAAAAAATCTTTGTATGGTTTGAAGTAGTCACCGAGGGCATGATTTGGTAAGTTTTCAGATGTAATTTTAGAGTTTAGTCTTCTTTGATGTCAAACAGATCATTCTGTGTTTCATAGACAGACAAATGTTGGGTATGTCCTATTGGTGGTCTATGTAGATGATATTGTGATTACTGAAAATGATTCTGAGGGGATTGCCAAGTTAAAAATATTCTTACATGATCGATTTCATACTAAGGATTTGAAAAAACTCAGGTATTTCTTAAGTATTAAGGTGGCTTAATCTAAACAAGGTATTTGTTTATTATAGAGGAAATATGTACTTGACATGCTTGAGGAAGCATGTTTGCTGGGTGTTAGACCAATTGATGTTCCTATGGATCCGAATCAGAAATTATTGATGGATGATGGTGTATTATTTGAGAATCCAAGCCGGTATCGAAGATTAGTTGGGAAGCTTAATTATCTCACTATTACTCGACCAGATATTTCCTATGTAGTCAGTATAGTAAGTCAGTTCATTGGATGTCCTAGAGTACCACATTGAGATGCAATTACTCGTATTCTGCGATATCTCAAATGAGCTTCTGGACTTTGACTGTTATATCGAGCTAATAGATATTTTAGAGTCGAAGGTTTCTGTGAGGCTAATTGGGCTGGCTCTCTTTCTGATCGGAGATCAACCACTAATTATTGTACTTTCTTAGGAGGTAATGTTGTCTCATGGAAAAGTAAGAAACAACCCGTGGTAGCAAGATCCAGTGCTGAGGCTGAGTATAGGGCAATGACACATACAACGAGTGAGTTGACTTGACTACTACACTTCCTCCAGAAAATTGAGTTTTCAGTTCAACTTCCTTTATAGTTGTTCTATGACAACCAGACAGTTATCCATATCGCTGTCAATCCTATGTTTCATAAGAGAACCAAACATATTGAGGTTGATTGTCACTTTATTCAGGACAAGATTGTAGCTGGAGAGATTACAACTCCATTTGTGAAATCTGAAGATTAGCTTGCAGATATGTTTACCAAAGCATTGAGTCGTACACGTCTTACAACTATTTGTTTCAAGCTTGGATTATATGATATATATAGTACAGCTTGAGGGAGAGTGTTAAGAATAATAGGGTAGTATGTGTAAATTATTAATAATAAGAGGGTGTATGTGTAATTTTTATTACTGTAGGTTAACTATAAATACAAGTGATGTATGAGAGTTAGGTTAAATTTTTAACCTCTCTCTTTCTCTTTAATATTGTGTTATGTTAATTATCTCAACTTAACAATGATAATAGTAATGGTGGTGGTAAGGTGGTGGTGGGGGTGGTTCCAAATGCTATATTTTTTTTTTTAGTATTTATGAGAAATTATAAGTATTAAAATAATTTTTAAAAAATCACATCAAACACACCTTTAGGAGTCTATTTTTTTCATTAATTTTAGAGTGTTAATATTAGTCATCGGATTAACTTTAAATTAAAATTGAAAGAGAATTCAACCGCGAATAACAAAAGTCATTTTGTTTATCTTTTAAAATTTGAATTGTATTATACTTTATTATTTAGACTAGTTATTGTTTGTGCCTGAAGACACATAATAATAAAAAAATGATAAACAATAAACATAATTGTATTTATACTTAAAATCAAATTAGAAACATATAAGAGAGATAAATGAATTTAAACATTGATTGTAGTGGAGGTGAGAGGTAGTGGGTGGCAATGGTGGTGATAGGAGACAGTGATGATTATGGTGGGTGGTAATGACCGTGGTGACGGTGGTGGTGGCAGCGACGATAGTGGCGGTGGGAGTGGCGGCGGCGACAACGACGACGGTGGGAGTGGCTATGGCAATGGCGACGGCAATGACGATGATGGTGGGGTTGGCAGCGATGGCAGTGGGGGCTGTGGCAGTGGAGGCTGCGGCGCTGATGGCAGTGGTGGTAACGATAACGGTGGTGGGGGCAACGACAACGGTGGTAAGGGTGGTAGTGGTAGAGATAGTGGTGGTGGGGGTGGGGGTGGTTGTGGTAGAGGTAGTAGAGGACAATTTCAAACACTTTTTTTTAAGTACTTATAAAAAATAATTCATATAAGTAATTTAAAAAAATCGCTCCAAACACACTCTTAGAGTACTATTTTTCCTATTAAATTTAAAGTGTTAATATTAACTGTTAGATTAACTTTAAAATAAAATTTAAAGCAATCTAAACCGCAAAAAATAAAAATTATTTTGTTTATCTTTTAAAATTTGAATAGTAAACGATTTTATTTTATAGATATTAATGGAACATTCCAAAAAGGTTATGTTAACCAACCACCCCTTGCCAACAATTCTTGTTACAATTACATCTGAGGCTATTCTGTGATTTCTTTGGAATTAGAATCCAACATAGTGGATGTAGTATGAATAAACCAACAAATTTGTTACATTTACAACTAGGTCGGAACTAGAATCCAACATAATGGGTGTAGTGTGTGTAAGCTTCTGCAGGAGACTGCATTCCAATTGGAGCCCGGGTTACATAATCCGGAAGATCAAAAGCATCTACTAATTCCCTGGCAATATTCCTCACCTGAAAACTCAGGTATTCTGTCAACTTGTGAATTGCCTGCAAAACAGTAAGTGCATAGACACCAAAAAGGTTTTAAAAAATTCTTTAAAGGCCAATCATTTGTATATCCTAAATATCTTCTTTCCACAAAAAATGAGTAAATTGATCTTCAGTTTCAGTAATAATTATGATAAGCATCCTAGAAATTTATTTCTGACACTGTTTAGAATGGAGTTAAACAATAACTTCTTTTTTTTCCCAATACTTTGCCACATAAAATACTCCTATATCATGTAGTGACGGGAGCCTCCTGATCTATACGGCCCTTTTTACGTATATATATGCATATGTGGTCATGCAAGTGAAGCTGTACAAGAAAATAGCAGAAAAGCAAAAGTACTCTTGGTTTTCTAAAAGAACCTTTTTAGTGTAGATAAACACTACTTTTGCCTTTTGGCCTAAAAGCAGAAAAATGCTGCCAAACGTTCCTTAATGATTGCACTTTTGTTGTTAAATACTGTTGTTTGGGTTTTCTAGACAAGCAAAAGGATTTTTAGATTTTGGCTTGAAGGGGACTATTAGGGGTATATTGGTATTGTTCCAAATAACCTATTTGTCATATGAATTTCCAATATCTGCTTGCAAAGTACTAACTTGAAGATTGTAGATGAGATGTAGGTAACCACGCTGTAACTCAAGCTGAAGCAAGTGTTTATAATGCAGAAACAGGAGATGCTCCCTTTAATTTCTTAGACATTATTTTGTAACAATCTAGTCCTTTATTATTATGATTAAAGCAAGCAATGCACCTTAGCTTTGTTAGGGGCCACATAGTCCACATTGCGATAGGTTCCTATGTCATTCCAGATTCGATCCAAAGCATAAAGATCACAGACAAGTTTCAGAGCAGCTCGAGAACTTGCATCAGGGCAACTGAATCAAAAACCAGGCAAAGATCAAACTCAACAATCATCAAAAGGAAAAGGAGGAATCCTGAATCTGACATTGAAAGTACCTCCGTACGGCATCAATGAATTTTGCGAGAATGACAGACTCAATGTGGGACTCTGCGAGCGTCAAAAGGTGATTTAAACACCTATTCCAAGCACCAAAACTCCCAAGTGTCTTTGAGTGCTTCCGCAGACGAATGACAACACTTTGAAGCAATCTAGAAGTACGATACTGCACCAAGAACGACCATGAAAAAAAAAATTAGGATGCAATTGCATGCTGTAACTTTTGTGCAGGAACACATTAATACTCACCCTGAAGGCATCCAACTGGAATTTAGGATTTCGCAAATGGTCTTCACCTTCCCACCTAGCAGTTACTGGGTTTGGCTGAGAGAGGTAAGTATTCATGGATTCCCTCAAGTAGTTCCATGTGACAGCAAGTGTCCCACCTTGAAACTTCTCCTTGTACTGCTTCAGGAGGTCCGCTGCAACCTGGATCACAAGTTAAAACTATGCTTTTAGTATGATCTTATTGATGCGCACCCACAAAATGATGTGACATTGTCCCATTAACAGAAATAAAGGAAATTAACACAAACTCCTCAGAGCCTGACATTTATATTACTTTAACAATAGGATAACTGTCCTGGACTATTTACTGGATGGTCCAGACTGCAGGGGTAACCCAGGCTCTTGAGTGAAAAAGCCACAGTAGTAGTCATTCCAACCCATACAGTGTCCTTTCTTCCCCCCCCCCCCACCACCCAACACACATATTTACCATCATAAATTCATTAATCTCAAAAATTATCTAATGATATTCATATTAGGACCATAAGTTATGCAAGTAATATCAAAGGAGAGGTTTATGTGGATAAAAATGAGATTTGTTAGCAACCTGCTGTAGAAGCACAGTGTTGTCCCCTTCAAATGTCTGAAAGATGTCATGATCATTCCTCAAACTGCCAAACCGATTGACAGCAGCATAACCATGTCCTCCACAAGATTCCCTGCAAATGCTCAATGACTTTGCGGTATAAGAAGTCACGTAAGCCTTGAGCCCAGCAGACAGTGCATGTACATCCCCCATCAATTGTTCATCGTGACACTTCTTCATCTCAGAATATTTCTCCACCAAATTCAGTGTAGCAAAATGGAATGCATAAACTGATGCCAGCATAGGCATGAGCTTGTGCTGATGAGACTGGTAATCAAGGATACTGATCTCAGGCTGCTTGGGAGGACCAAATTGCTGGCGGAGTAGAGAATATCTTGTAGCAATAGTGACAGCAATCTTGAGGACACCAACTGAAGAATGTGCAAGGACAACCCTTCCTCCTACAAGTTCCCCTAGGGTGGCAGCAAAACGCTTGTTTATAGATGGAAGGCTGCTTGTATATATCCCCTCGCGTGAGACATCTCCAAATCGATTAAGAAGGTTATCACGCGGAATTCTTACAGAGCGGAATCTCAATGCTCCATTATCCACTCCATTTAGGCCAACTTTGTGACCACAGTCTTGTATTTCAATCCCTGGAAGTGTTTTGTGAGTTCTCAAGTCCCTTATTGGAACAATGAAGGCATGAACGCCCATATCAGAATCACCTTTTGGATCATGAGTTGGTAACATCAACTTGGCAAAAACTGTAGCAAACTTGCCGTGCACTGCAGCATTGCCAATCCACCATTTAATAGCACCATCATTGGGTGTATTGATGACGAATTCATCTGTAAGTGGATCAAATGTAGCAACAGTCTGCAGGCCCTGAACATTTGAGCCTTCCAAGCACAAACAATTGAGAAAGATTAGAGTAGACATGGATCCCAGTTCTATGTGTAAACAAAAGAAGCAATGAGGCGACAAATGTTTGAGTTGAAAGAAATTCTGTTAATCAAAGTACCATCAATTCTGCCTGAAGAAAGAACAAAACCATATTTTGCAATAAATAATAACAATTCCATAAAAAGTTGAGAATAGCAATACAGTTTTTCATAATTTAGCTGGTCTTTAGGAATATCTTCTCCTAAATAATCAAGGGAAGATCTTATGACATGAATGCTCAAAAGAAATTAAGAGTTTTGTTAATTGCCAAAACAATATCCATTAGAAGGCCTTTCCTCAGATTGTATGATGCATATAGATTTTTTCCACCTCTCGTACATGAAGTGAGATTGGCAAAACGCTGAACTCAAAGAGAGCAGCAAATTTTGGTTCTTTTTTTGTGAAAGCTTGAGGTGACTGCATTAACTCCACTTCATTGCTCAAAGAGCTCTTGTAGCCAATGGGAGCAAGAAGTTATCAAAGACTTAACATAACAAATGGTGCATGCTAATCACCGAGTGTGCAGTCATGATGCAGGAAAAAATAAAAATTAGGCTGCAGGAAGGGCATACCATGATGGAGTTCTGTCATAGCAAAACAACCCAGATACTCCATATTTTCAATACCATCAAAGTACTTATCCCTATGTTTTTTAGTTCCCAAGTTGAGCACAGAGCCTCCCCAAAGACTGCACAAAATATCAGAAATCAGTGAAGGATTTTAAAAAGGTTTGGAAATTTACAATTTCACCTAATCAAAATACTGTAGGCATTATATATTTGGTACACAAAGCAACAATAAAAAACAAGTTCTGGAAATAGAATTGAGCATTTCAACTGATGCACCACATAACAATGGGAAAAGTTATTAGCACATGTTCTATTATGGATGCTCTTCCAAAAGTTGATTGTACCAATTAGCACCACATTTTTGAGGCTAAGACAGCCCCAACCATAATGCAATATCATTGCCGAGGAATTATGGGGGCTGAAATTTCGAAGCTCAGGTCTCTGAATGGAAAGCACAGTAGACGCCTTCCTCACACTGGATGAGATCATATGGAAACTGTAGACCTAACATTAGTACTTAATGCACAAACTATTCGATATTTTCAACTTGACACACACACACACACAAACACAAAGACAATAAATGCTATAAAGTCCAGTTGATATGCAAAAAATTGTAGGTAATGGCTGCCCAGTAAATCTATAAAGCAATCTAAAGAAAAAGGAAAGGATTATTTTAGCCCAAAAACAAGGCTCTCAGAAGCACCATTTTAGCGGTGGCTGGACATCTCAACTCCCTCATTAAGACCTCGAAAAGAAAAAGTTCAAAGATTGATAGGACAAGAAATGAGAGGTGCTTAATGAAGAAAAGGAAGCAAGCTTTTATATCCACTCCTTTCCTGACAAAAAAAAAAACGAAGGAAAGGAGAGGAAAGAGAATGTACTACTAAGCCGAAAATGACTGAGGTAGATAAATTTGGGTGAGCTTAAAGAAGATATTGAACAAGATGAGCAGAATTCAAGTAATTAAAAATGTTATGAAGGTTACAATCTCATAATCAGCTTCAAGGGTTCCCATTATTCAATATCAATAATATGCAGATTGTCACAAATGATTCTATCGAGACAAGTCTTTTGATCACGTTCTTTTTTTGCCCTTTTTGGTTAACCAATTGCCCTTTAGATAACAATTTTAGTACAATAGTATGCCTTTTCCCTGTTTCTGCCATAATGGGTTTGCCTGTTACATAACCAAGCATCTTCATTGGCTTTAATTCTTTGGTTGTAAATTAATTCTACTCGAATACATTCCTTCTTTCTCCTGCATGATTTGGCACTCTTTCTTCTCAAACTCATTTTTCTTATATCTACTGCATACGTTTTTCTTTCTTGCAGTTAAATTTCACAAGTTATGAAGGCCTAGGTGATATCCTTTGAAGTGTTTTTTTCCACTCTCAGTAACAGATGTCACACACGTAATTCTTTAAGTGAACCTCATCTTACAGCCACCTAATTTTCTATATTTTGTGAATGATTTTACCATGTTAATGAAGCTGACATTTTAAAACAATATTGGCACATAGAGACCAATAAAAAAATTCAATTACTGAGAATTGGTCGCTATTAAGGGAAATGACAAAAAAACAAACATTAACACAAACTTTTATAGATTCACATCTAAGACTGGAAATTTTGAATATGCTAGTGCTCACTAACCTTGATAATAGAATAGCATCTTAAAACAACCCTCACTCCTCAAAAACAAAAAAGAAAAAAAATTAACTTGAAAACAGAAAACCAACTTGTCAGTATTGATTGCCACACTTACTAAACTAATTCACTAGAAGTAATGTAACCTAACAACGCAAAACATTAACTTGGGGCATAGAAGATCTTCAGTCTCGCATCAGCGACCAAATAAAATATAATGTATTATGACTATGGTTTCAATACAAGGTGATGAAAGTATTGTCCAGAACAATTGGGTACCTCAAACCACCATCATAACAATAACGATCCTGAGGCTAAATAAAAAATACAACTCAGTAATGNACTGAGGTAGATAAATTTGGGTGAGCTTAAAGAAGATATTGAACAAGATGAGCAGAATTCAAGTAATTAAAAATGTTATGAAGGTTACAATCTCATAATCAGCTTCAAGGGTTCCCATTATTCAATATCAATAATATGCAGATTGTCACAAATGATTCTATCGAGACAAGTCTTTTGATCACGTTCTTTTTTTGCCCTTTTTGGTTAACCAATTGCCCTTTAGATAACAATTTTAGTACAATAGTATGCCTTTTCCCTGTTTCTGCCATAATGGGTTTGCCTGTTACATAACCAAGCATCTTCATTGGCTTTAATTCTTTGGTTGTAAATTAATTCTACTCGAATACATTCCTTCTTTCTCCTGCATGATTTGGCACTCTTTCTTCTCAAACTCATTTTTCTTATATCTACTGCATACGTTTTTCTTTCTTGCAGTTAAATTTCACAAGTTATGAAGGCCTAGGTGATATCCTTTGAAGTGTTTTTTTCCACTCTCAGTAACAGATGTCACACACGTAATTCTTTAAGTGAACCTCATCTTACAGCCACCTAATTTTCTATATTTTGTGAATGATTTTACCATGTTAATGAAGCTGACATTTTAAAACAATATTGGCACATAGAGACCAATAAAAAAATTCAATTACTGAGAATTGGTCGCTATTAAGGGAAATGACAAAAAAACAAACATTAACACAAACTTTTATAGATTCACATCTAAGACTGGAAATTTTGAATATGCTAGTGCTCACTAACCTTGATAATAGAATAGCATCTTAAAACAACCCTCACTCCTCAAAAACAAAAAAGAAAAAAAATTAACTTGAAAACAGAAAACCAACTTGTCAGTATTGATTGCCACACTTACTAAACTAATTCACTAGAAGTAATGTAACCTAACAACGCAAAACATTAACTTGGGGCATAGAAGATCTTCAGTCTCGCATCAGCGACCAAATAAAATATAATGTATTATGACTATGGTTTCAATACAAGGTGATGAAAGTATTGTCCAGAACAATTGGGTACCTCAAACCACCATCATAACAATAACGATCCTGAGGCTAAATAAAAAATACAACTCAGTAATGGATTAAAGCAAACAAATAGTTTGATAGTAATGTAGCACCACCAATACATAAGGAGTAATGTTATTGAAACCTAAAAATCTGACTTAATTTGTAGACCTTACAGTCACAATAATGCTATTAGACCTATCTCAATAACTCATCGTTATGTTAGCAAATTAGGTCAGATTTTTAATTCTCAATAACTTTACTCATAGTTAAGAGGTCACATATATACTTACACCTCATAGATAACTCACCAAAAGTCAAACACCCACGAATATCTTACACGACCACTTAACCCACCTTTTTTCTTTGGGAAAATTACTAATAACAATAAGTATTACTTTTTCTTACAAATATCCATTAAATTCTATTATTTTTATTTTATACTTTTATATTAATGAAGTCCTATTTTTAATATTTTATTTTAATTAAGTCATCATTTAATTATATTTTAATTTTATCCTTCCTCTTTAGTTACCAAAATACTTTTATTCTAACATTCTTTTGTCAACTTAGCAACACACTCTTGGAGCATTTCAATTGCTATGTGACTTTGCATTCTTTTTGTTATGTCAACTTCGGCAACACAACCTTGGGACTTCTTCTTACAAGAAGTTAAATTCTTAATTCGATTAAGGTAATATTATTATATTACAAATTCTATTGATACATTTTGTTGTTGGTTTTAAATTATTTTACTAATTGGTATTGGATTTAAAATGAATAAGTTAGGAATTTATTTTAGTTATTGTGTTTGAATCAATAACGACATTAATGTGGAATTAATCAACAAACATTATCAATGTAATTTTTTTAACCTTTCTTATTTTATTAAATACTCTATAAATATTGTCTCAAGTTTTAAGATTGGGTACCCCAGTGAGATAAGAAAATATGGACTTTCTTTAGATCTTGCCATGAAGTTTATGGTAGCTGAGTTTTTTTTTTTAATTGGGGTTTCAATGTTAGTTTTGTAAGTAATAAATTTTTGTCCTCTTAAGAGCATCTCCAACCCTAACTCTAATTTAAACTCAAATTTATATTTGAGTCTAAATGGTTCAAAAACCTTCTCTAGTTTTGGACTCAAACCTATATCAAATGAAGAAAAAACTTTTTTTGAACCCAAATTAAGGGGAACTCAAATTCTATACCAAATTTATAACGGTAACTTTTTACCTTATCCAAAGTCAAATGACTTCTTCGACAACTTGTTCTTTGCCTCTTCTGCCCTCTTTCTTCTACCTTGCTTCCATTGCTGACTACCACTAAAATATTCACATATCTTTTAAGGACTTGTAGATAAGCTTCTTTATTTTCATCTTCCATCTTCTTAATTTTTTGTATTTTTCAAAATTCTAATCTCACTCATCTTTCATACTATATAAACCCTAAGCCTACTCATCAAATTTTGCTTTGATTTTTTCGAGCTAAACAATGTCAGTAGTGTAATTTCAAGCCTTACTGAAATTTCAAGTCTTTACTACTCACAAATTTAGGAAATTTGTTATTTTATTTCTTTAATTATTAATTTTTATTAAAAACGATCCGTTTTTTGTGTTCTTCAGATCAAACCCATGTCAAAGTAATTGGTTTTTTTTCTTCTATTTTTATCTGGATTTATTTTATCAAATTTTATAATTTAAATGATACAAAAAAAAAAGAATTTTGGGACAAAAAGGAAATTTTTTTAAAAATTTGAGTAGATATTTGAATTTGTTCATTAGATTATTCTATACCAAATGAAGGTTTTTTCTCAAATTTGGGTTTAAATTTGAGTAATAGTCGGAGATGCTTTAATTGATTCAAAAAATGCAAAAAAAATGAAAGGATTTTAGTAATTAAAGGGTAAGAATAAAATTGAAATATAATAAAATTTAAGACTTAATTAAAATAAAATATCAAGAATAGAATTTTATTTATATAAAACAAAAATGATGGGACTCAGCAGATTTTTGTGGGAAAAATAATACTTATTAGTAAATTACCTTTTTCTTTTTTTTTTTTTAAATTATTTTTCGGTGAAACCCAAAACATTCATTCTTTAAAATCCCAAAATAATTAATATTTTCTCGGCCAATTAATAAAGTTCGGACAACTAAGGAACAGTGTCAAAGGTCAGATCTCATCACCTACTGCTTGAATAAGTTTATATTAACTAAAAACAAAATAACAGAATCCAGAAACAATTCCAAACAAATTAAATAATGGGGCTCAACCATAATCAACATTTGAGACCATAAGCAATCATAAACCCCAAATCAAATACTTAATAAATTTATTTACAAAAGCAACCTGAAAATGAAAAGGGATGGAAATCACCTGTATTGCACACCCATCTTGATCCCCAACGACATATCAACACTCCCAACAGCTTCGGCAATTGCAAAGTACTTTTCTGGGTCTTCAACCACATACCTAAAAGGTCTAATCCCGGCCTCTCTCACCAAACCCAAAAGCTGCCTCAGACAGAGCTCTCTGTGCTCATCTTTACTTATCTCAATTGGGGTTTGAAGATCAGGCCTCGAATTGAAGTACTCGAACACTCTTTCTTGTATGTCCCTATGTTTCCCTCTCATGTAGTCCGAGAGCTGTTGGGCGTTCACGCTAATCTTCGCACGCGCCGAGCACGTTAGCAACTGAAGGTGGTCAAGCTGACGACTGGGTAGCGTTGGGTTGAGATGCAAGGTGAGCCGTTGGATTCTTCTGATGATGGATTGATCTTGGTCTTCTTCAGCCGTTGGATTGTACTCCGTTGTATGAATTACCTTGGACTCCATTGTTTGAGTGTCCAAATTCCAAAACAAATCTATAAACAGCTATACAGATACAGATGCTGTGTGTGTGTGTGTGAGAGAGAGAGAGAGAGAGAGAGAGTAGGGGTGTTGGTTTGAGGGGAAGATGAAGAGCAGTGGGGTTATGGAGGAAAGAGGAGGAATGCGATGACTCCAATTGTATTATACCGAACGTTATGTGACGTGGCGTGGTGAAGGAGGTGCACGTGGAAGGTGTTGATTTGAGAATGAATCGGCAGTTATTACTTTGGCGCGCCTTTCAACGTCAACGGTGATATCGGATTTGGATGAGATTGGTCAGTGTGACCTAATGCTGAGTTGTTCCGGTATGTTCTCGTGCCAAAAAAAGGGCCCATGCATTGACATTTAGATTATAATTTTCTTAATATGATGATTCTTTTTAATTATCTTAATTTCGTGATTAATATATTTTTTCAATCAATATGTCTTTTTCGTTTGTAGACAAACATGATTTTAAATATCTCTTTCAATCATTTAAAGGTTGGGGCTAATCTCAAATTTTATCAAGAAAAATAGTTTGAATTTCAATTTTCACTATCAAAGATCAAAAATTTTAATTTGTATCATCAAAGATAAAAATTTATATCAATACGCACTTTAAAATAACAGTCGTCAATGTACTGTTTAAAACTAAATAGATAAATTACACCTACACCCCTCATATTTGTCACTTAGTCACTTAGACCCCTTACATTTAAAATATTGAACTTACATTCCTCGAGAATCCAAAGATGATTAAAAATGTTCTTCCAATTGGGCATTCAAATAATTATGTTTAATTGATGTATTGCATTGGATACAAAAAACATTATATAATACCTACATTATATTGGGCATTTAAATAGTAAGCTTTATTTTAAACTTTAGAATATAACAGGTCCACAAAATAAAAAGGTAGTATGAAATTATAAATTTTTATTAGAATGAAATCATATTTTTAACGGCTATATTAACAGATATCAACGACAAGAGATTATGTGTTACGCGTGCACAAACGTTAGGAGGTGTAGGAGTAATATTCTAAATGTGAGGGGGGTCTAAATAATTAAGTGACAAATATGAGGGATCTAAGTGTAATTTATCTATTTAGTTTTAGACGGTAAACTGACGGTTGTTAATTTCAAGTGTGCGTTGATACAAATTTTTATCTTTTAGGATATAAATTAAGATTTTTTTATCTATAAGAGTACAAATTAAAATTCAAACGATCTTTCAGAGTATAATTTATAATTAACCCTAAAGGTTATTGATGTTAGTGAACCCAAAACCACTTTAAGCTTCAATGAAAGAGTATAGTATTACAATTTACACCAGATATTCAATGATTGTATACATAAGGATTTTTAGAATATCTTTAACCTCATTTTATTTTATGTCTTTTGAATATAAAAAATGTACCTATTTCTTAACTCCATAAAGTTGTTGAACATGTTTTGGCCATATTGGTGATATAATTTTTTCATAATTTTAGATTTATTTTTCTCTTTTTACACTTATAAAAGCATATTTGTGATGACTTATGTCCAAGCTATCATAACAAAAAAGTTTTTTGTGGCTCTAAAGTGCGTCATAAAAGGTTTATTTGTCGCCACAAATATTTTTTGTTGCAACATTGTCTCGTCATAATAAATGAAGTCTCAAAAAATTTTTATGATGGCAATGGTCTAACTTAAATAAGTTATCGCAAAAAATCTACCACTTTTATTTTTATCACGGCGACAAAAGTGCCGTCTTAAGTACCATTTTTGTTGTCGTAAAAAATAGAAACTTTGTTGTGACAACTAATGTGATGCTACAAAAAGTATTATTTGTTTAACTTATGTTAAATGAAATATATTTACAACTGTAACAATGCTGCCACAAATTTAAAAATATATATATATATATTATTGACAATTCGTAACCAATGTTATATATTTTGTGCACATATAAACTTTCATCACACAAATTTAAAGATACATATCCGCACAACTACACAATTTAATATACAAATAAGCACAAGTAAATAAGATTAACATTCTAAAAACCTAGCAATATTTTCATTGAAAAAAAAATCACTAGTGAAACAAAAAGTAAAATGTTCTATGAGGACAAGAAACTAATGCAAAAAGTGAACAAAATTCCCAAACCATCTACTCCCTTAGTGGCACTTGAAAAAAGTATAAAATTATTGTTACTATATTAAAATAATAATTATATATAAATATACAATAAAGAACTAAAAGAAATTAGAGTATATATCAATAGAGAGTCATACAATATTTCTTTCAACGGCTTGTCCAATTATAAGAATTCCTCGACGAGACCTTATTAAACACATCTTCAACAAAATACTTGTCAACAATTTGATCTCAATAGAATTCTATCTATTTCTGTCGATTGGTCCATACTAATAATATGACTCTCTACCACTACACTTATTTGAACTTTAGAACTAAATAAGTCTACCTTGTTAAACCGACCTACAACCAAAATAATAATTACTCGGTAAGAAAAAATATAGTAATCGTTAATATTACTTGTCTTGATGACTAAACATTATTATATATGCATAATTGAAAGATTTCATGCAATGCACAAACAATGTGATTCACATACTGTGAAACATATCGTCAATATTCACAAATAGAACAATATATATGTAATCAACCTAATATTCATAACAGTTGTGATGAACTAAGAAATTGCAAGCATTGTATGTCAATAAGGTCAACATATATACTGATTAGATCACAAAGTATCATAACAATTACAGACTCACATATGCATATCTACATTCAACAACACGGAAGGCAACCCTATCCAACCAACATAACAATTTTCATCCACATAAGAGTTATGAAATATAAAGTCATGGAACATATGCAATGTCAAATAAAATTAATTGATGAAAGTTTCTTTTATAATTACAAGTGGTAGCCTTTTTACCAAAAAGGGAGAGTAAAAAAATGAAATCTCATTGGTGGAACAATCTCATGTATAATACACATACATTGAAAAAATATGTGTCGAATAATATCCTATTTCCAAGCTACTGCACGAATTTGTATTACTTATAATTGACATCAAAATTGTTATTGGACACAAATATGAAAATTAGAAGTTTGTGGTGGTACAAGTTCATAAATTCTTAGTTTTATTTATAAATATAACATCTTAGTACATAACCTTATAAACAGGTCGTATAAACGGAGATAGTGCATGAGACTCGTCTTGTGATTGTTAAAGGCTATCTCTCCCAAACTCTCTCAATTGTTGTTGCTCTCTTATTAAATCTGAAGCTTAAGACATGATAACATATCAAAATCAAAATCTACATATTTTAAAATTTTCTAACTGCAAAATGGACTTTGTAGTACTTCACATATTGTGCCACCCTAGGGTCACATCCACTTTCTAATTGAAATACCAAAAAAAAATATTTGCTTGCATAAGGTCGAATTTTTCTTTAACTTGTTGATCTATCTCCGCTCGTATTCTTTCAATATATTATTGAGCTACATCTGTAAAACTTGGGTAAATTTGAATTTTTGTGAAAAATGACAAAACAGTAATTTGCCACTACGGTATGGGTTGAAAACTCAAATTTTGCTAAAATTCAAATGACGAAATGGACCTCATCGTTGAATTCATCTCGTGAAATCTATTTACCAAGTCAATTTTCGTTGAATTCCAAGACAGTTAAATTTTTCATTTTTTATGAGGCGATCAGGTGTCGCATGACCTAAAAATGAGATATGAAATTAAATTTCAAAGATTAAAAAATAATTTAAAGCTAGTTCAAATAAAAATATTTTAAACTTGAACCAGGACAAAATCGAACCCAGAAATAGAGGACGTGTGATGCAACAAAGACTAAGGATTCTAGGGGGTATAAATAGGAGAGAAACTCGGATTTTCTCTTCATTTTAGCTGGGTTTTTACGTTGAAGATGGAAGAGAGGGAAAAAGAAAGAGTTCTAACTTCTCTCTATGATCTACGGCGTTCCTTTGGTCGAATTGACTTGGGCCAAGAGTTAAAGTTTCTCTACGCGACGAGAGCTACGATTATGTATTAAAAATTGCGGATTTCACCGAATATTCAAAAAAGGGATGTTGGAAAAAATCAAGGTTTGAGATTGATTTTTGTTCTTGAAGGTTTCTACAACTTGTTTTTACGCTTCAAAAGTATGGTTCTGTAACACCCCGCATTTTCTTTTATATATTTATATAGATATATAGTAAATAATTGTGGTAAAAATGTGGATATGTTTAGGGATGTGTGTTTGAATTTGCTAGATTAAAAAAGTAGAGATTTAAAATGTTAGTGGAAATAATAGTTAAAATTTGGTGTTAATAAGTGAAAATATGAAATTTTAGATCCTAGAACTTGTATTAAATAGGTTTGGTGTAGAAATATGTGTTGGAAAGGTTTGAGATGGATTTGGTTAGCTTAGGAATGGATTGGAAATGGAAAAGGGATGAAACAAGACGTGAACAGTGCAACTTCGAGCGCGATTTCGACCTTGATGCAGTCGATATCTTTCAAAACTCAAACCCTGAAAGTTGTAGAGCTCTTTCTTATCATTCCATAGCATCTTTAATCATCTCAATCAGAACTCAGATGAGAGAGTTATACCCAGGTAATGAAGTGATGTGAAAACAGCCTAATTAGCTTGAACAGTGCACTGACTGCAACTTCAAGCCCGATTTAGACCTTGATGCATTCAATAGATCTCAAAAATCAAAACATGAAAGTTTTAGATCTCTTTCTTATCATTCCATATCATCTTGAATCATCTCAATCGGAGCTCGAATGAGAGAGTTATGCTCAGATAACGAAGCGATGTTAAAATAGTCCAATTAACTTCATTTTGCATTTAACGTCTCCATTTGCATCCTAAATCAAAATATAAGAATAATGAGTATATTTAGACTTCAAATAAGTATAAAAGACTTTAAGAAGCACCCTTTATCACCTTTTAT